TACACAGGTTAGTAGTACAGTTGGAGATAATGGAGAAGTCAGGAGCCAAGCCAGGGTCACACAACAGTGAGCAATATTAAGTGGATGAAAGAGACATATCCTGAATCTTTTCCAAGGTCATACTCAGGTGAGCAATTGGATGTGAATGAAAGAGACTTAGTCTGGAACCAGGCCAAGGTCAAACACAGATGAATTGTATAGTTGGACATGATGGAGACTTCAGGAGCCAAGACAGGGTCATATACAGGTGAGTAGTAGTGCTGGAGATGATGGAGAGGTCAGGAGCCAAGCCAGGGTTATACACACAGGTGAGCAATAAGATGTGGATGAAAGAGACATAGTCTGGATCTATGCCAAGGTTATATACAGGTGAAATAGGATGTGGATGATAGAGACGTAACATGGAGGCAAGCTGAAGTCATACATATGTAGGTTAGCAATAGGATGTGAATGAGAGAAATATTATATGGAGCAAAGTCAAGGTTCTACACAGGGGAGTAGTATAATTGTACATGATGGAGAGGTCAGGAGCCAAGCCAGGGTCATATATAGGTGAGTAATAGAATGTGAATGAAAGAGATGTAGTCTAGCATCAAGGTGAGGTCACACACAGAGGAGTAGTAAAGTTGGACATGACAGAGACTTCAGGAGCCAAGCCAAGGTCATACACAGAAGGAGTAGTACTGGAGATGACGGACACTTCAAGAACCAAGCCAGGGTCATATATAAGTGAGATAGGATGTGGATGAGAGAGATGTTGTCTGGAGCCAAGCCAGGTGAGTAGTATAGCTGGAGATGATGGGGAGGTCAGGAGCCAAGCCAGGGTCATACACAGGTGGGTGAGTAGTATAGCTGGAGATGATGGGGAGGTCAGGAGCCAAGCCAGGGTCATACACAGGTGAGTAGTATAGCTGGAGATGATGGGGAGGTCAGAAGCCAAGCCAGGGTCATACACAGGTGAATTGTATAGCTGGAGATGATGGGGAAGTAAGGAGCCAAGCCAGGGTCATACACAGGTGAGTAGTATAGCTGGAGATGATGGGGAGGTCAGGAGCCAAGCCAGGGTCATACACAGGTGAGTAGTATAGCTGGAGAGATGGGGAGGTCAGAAGCCAAGCCAGGGTCATACACAGGTGAATTGTATAGCTGGAGATGATGGGGAAGTAAGGAGCCAAGCCAGGGTCATACACTGGTGAGTAGTTATAGCTGGAGATGATGGGGAGGTCAGAAGCCAAGCCAGGGTCATACACTGGAGATGATGGGGAGGTCAGAAGCCAAGCCAGGGTAGTATAGCTGGAGATGATGGGGAAGTAAGGAGCCAAGCCAGGGTCATACACACTGGAGATGATGGGGAGGTCAGGAGCCATGGGTCACTGGAGACACGGGTCTTCATTTAGTCGAAGTATGATGTTTTTGATCATTTTCTGTGTAAATTAGTGACACCATTCAAGGTCCCTGACTAGTGTCTTCATTATGTAATATAGTTTGCCTTCAGTCAAGGTCCAACCCAACAAACGTCCTTTGCTCTTTGAGGAATCAGTAGGATGTGAAGTGAAAGGAATGGCACCAAGAGCGGCGCGGCACCCCTACAGTCCATATGGACTTCGGCACCTTGTCACAGATATCTGCACCCAGCAAAAACAGCTTCACTTTAAAGTGTCCATTGAGCACCTCCATACAAGGACTAACTGTACCCAGGGGCGGACAGACCATTTGGAAACTCGGGCACTGCCCGAGGGCCCGGGTGTCAGTAGGGGGCCCCATGAGATGCCCCTGGTACCTTTTTCATAGGTTTTTTTAAGTGTGGGCAAGGACACAGGGGCCCCATGATGCCCTATTGCCTGGGGGCCCCATGAGTTGTCAGTCCGCCCCTGATTGTAATCCTCCCCAATGGCATCATTCACCTCCATCCGGCTGAAATGTGAAGTACAGACCTTGGCAAAGTAAAGTTTGCTATTCCATTTGAAAAGGTGTGTCAAGCACTTCACCGCGGGCCGTATCAGCATCATGGTTGCCCTCAAAGGGCCGGTTGTATCTGTAAGACTAGATGTCCAGCGCACCCCCCCCCCCCCATTACATCAGATGTCAAGAATCCCACACCGTCACTTTGCGTGGGGGGGCCATGGAAGGAACACAGCTCACTTTGGAGAGGTGGGGAGACCCCTGTCTCAGCTCCCCATATCCCTCGTATGTGTAAGTCACCCTGTGCCTGTTAGGGGTACAGGGGGATCTGTCCTAATATTGGGGGGGCTTTGTCTCAGACTGTGTAGACATGTTTAGGAGATAGGGTGGGGGGTTATTGATTGGTTAATGCCATGTGGCTGCATCACATTGTTCTATTATGTGTCTGGCTTGGGAGCAGGGGTGGACTGACCATTCGAGCACTCGGGCACTGCCCGAGGGCCCAGGGTCAGTAGGGGGCCCCATGAAATGCCCCTGGTACCTTTTATTGGCTTTTTTTGGGTGTGCTTTGAGTGTTGGCAAGGACACACAGGGGCCCCATAATCCCCTATTGCCCGAGGGCCCCAAGAGCTGTTAGTCCGCCCCTGCTTGGGAGCAAACTATTATGGGTGTATGTGTTTATTGTGTATTAGTTTTAGTGGGGGGTGTCTCCAGCAGCCCTCCCTCCTGATGGGACTGATGGGACTGTCTGCTGGTGTGAAGTTTGAATACCTGTGTGTCCTCTTGTTGCTAAATGTAGATTGCCCCGCCCTGTGTCATTATGCAGGGAGGGGGGGATGCCCCGCCCTGTGTCATTATGCAGGGAGGGGGGGATTGTCCCGCCCTGTGTCATTATGCAGGGAGGGGGGATTGTCCCGTCCTGTGTCATTATGCAGGGAGGGGGGATTGCCCCGTCCTGTGTCATTATGCAGGGAGGGGGGATTGTCCCGCCCTGTGTCATTATGCAGGGAGGGGGGAATGCCCCGCCCTGTGTCATTATGCAGGGAGGGGGGATTGCCCCGCCCTGTGTCATTATGTGGGGAGGGGGATTGCCCCGCCCTGTGTCATTATGCAGGGAGGGGGATTGCCCCGCCCTGTGTCATTATGCAGGGAGGGGGGATTACCCCGCCCTGTGTCATTATGCAGGGTGGGGGGATTGCCCCCGCCCCTGAGTCATTATGGAGGGAGGGGGGATTGCCCCGCCCTGTGTCATTATGCAGGGTGGGGGGATTGCCCGCCCTGTGTCATTATGCAGGGAGGGGGATTGTCCCGCCCCTGTGTCATTATGCAGGGTGGGGGGATTGCCCCGCCCTGAGTCATTATGGAGGGAGGGGGATTGCCCCGCCCTGTGTCATTATGCAGAGAGGGGGGGATTGCCCGCGCCCTGTGTCATTATGCAGGGAGGGGGATTGTCCCGCCCTGTGTCATTATGAAGAGGGGGGGATTGTCCCCTGAGTGTCATATATCCTGTATCTGTGTTCAAATAATGTAGTCTACTCTGTTTTTACTTCAACACTGGTGTTGTCTAGTCCTGTAATGGTCTCTGTGGTGTCAGTGTGTCGGTGTTGTATGGACAGATTGGTGTCGTCTAGTCTTGTATGGTCTCTGTGGTGTCAGTGGTCTGTGTTCGGACAGATTGGTGTCGTCTAGTCTTGTATGGTCTCTGTGGTGTCAGTGGTCGGTGTTCGGACAGATTGGTGTCGTCTAGTCTTGTATGGTCTCTATGGTCAGTGGTCGGTGGTGTCAGTGGTGTCGGTGTTCGGATGGTCAGATGTGGTGTGTCTAGTCTTGTTCGGTACAGATGTCGTCAGTCTTGTATGGTCTCTGTGTCAGTGGTCGGTGTTCGGACAGATTGGTGTCGTCTAGTCTTGTATGGTCAGCGGTGGTGTCAGTGGTGGTCGGTGTTCGGACAGATTGGTGGCGTCTAGTCTTGTATGGTCAGCGGTGGTGTCAGTGGTCGGTGTTCGGACAGATTGGTGTCGTCTAGTCTTGTATGGTCTCTGTGGTGTCAGTGGTCGGTGTGTTCGGACAGATTGGTGTCGTCTAGTCTTGTATGGTCTCTGTGGTGTCAGTGGTCGGTGTTCGGACAGATTGGTGTCGTCTAGTCTTGTATGGTCTCTGTGGTGTCAGTGGTCGGTGTTCGGACAGATTGGTGTCATCTAGTCCTGTATGGTCAGCGGTGGTGTCAGTGGTCGGTGTTCGGACAGATTGGTGTCGTCTAGTCTTGTATGGTCTCAGCGGTGGTGTCAGTGGTCGGTGTTCGGACAGATTGGTGTTGTCTAGTCTTGTATGGTCTCTGTGGTGTCAGTGGTTGGTGTTCGGACAGATTGGTGTCGTCTAGTCTTGTATGGTCAGCGATTGGTGTGGTGTCAGTGGTCAGTGTTCGGACAGATTGGTGTCGTCTAGTCTTGTATGGTCAGCGGTGGTGTCAGTGGTCGGTGTTCGGACAGATTGGTGTCGTCTAGTCCTGTATGGTCGGCTGTGGTGTCAGTGGTCGGTGTTCGGACAGATTGGTGTCGTCTAGTCTTGTATGGTCAGCGGTGGTGTCTGTGGTCGGTGTTCGGACAGGGAAGCAGGAGTCTAACGGAAGTACTCAAGCGCAGTCTGGGGTCGGTTCCGTTACACTGTGCACCCCCTTTGGGGCAGAACTGGAAATCAGACAGTGCATGGTCTTGAGAAGGACCAGAGGAGGAGTGGAGTCACCAGAGAATGCTGAATGCTGAGACCAGGGGAAGCAGAGATGAGGGGGTGCTGCAGCTGCACTGAGAGGGGCAGGATCTGGCGGAGGAGTTCTATTCTCCTCTCTTCTGCCGACTGCTGAGACAAGGTGGGGACGGAGACTAGGGGGTACCTGCAGGAGAGGTACAAGGGCCACAAGAAATGGCCTGGAGGGCCGGATTCAGCCCGCAGGCCTTGTGTTTGACACTAGAGATGAGCGAATTATTCAAAAATTCGGTTCGGCTGATTCGCCGAATTCGCGGACTAAATTCGCTTCGAGTCCGAATATATTCGCTGTGAATTTAACTTATAAAAGGGTGTTTCTAGGCTTCAGAGAGCCTTTATATTAGTGCAGAACACTGTACCTTTAATTTAAATGCCCTTGGAGTCTGCTGGGGAAGAGAAATAATACTGTCAGTCAGTATGACATGCAGATGAGTGCCGTCGATCTTAGAATCACCGCACACTTCACTCATTTGGGCAGTCACGGGGCCAAAACCAGAGTGTGGAGCCACAGTGTGGCGGTGGATGGCAGCAGCAATGGGAGGCCATACAGCACCCTATGACAAAAATGGAAACCACCAGCAGTGTGAGGAGACCTGAAAGTGGCACATGGCAGAGTGTGGCGATGGAGACAGCAGCAATGGGAGGCCGTACAGGGACCCATGACACACTCTGGACCTGGCAGCAGCATGAGGAGGCGGTACAGGGGCCCATGACAGATTACGGGCCTGGCAGCAGCATGAGGAGGGCCCGGTACAGGGGCCCATGACAGATTAGGGCCCATGGCAGAATTAACGGCCTGGCAGCAGCATGAGGAGGCGGTACAGGGGCCCATGGCAGATTACGGGCCTGGCAGCAGCATGAGGAGGCGTACAGGGGCCCCATGGCGAGATTACAGGGGCCCATGGCAGCAGAGTGGCGGAGCGTAAGCAGCCCAAAATTGAAGGCCATACAGAGGCCTAGGGCCCATGGCAGAAAAAGCCTAAAATTGAACCCCCAGCCTCATGTTAAAAAGTCCCCCAGCAGCAGTGGGGAGACGACTATCAAGAGTCCAATGGCAGAGTGGCGGAGCAGAAGCAGCTTCAATTGAAGGCCATACACAGGCCTAGGTTTAAAAGTCCCTCACAGTTAATTCCAATAACGAACTCTACTCCTCCGTGCAATCTAGTTACGAGACCCTGGGCAGGTCTGGGTCCAATTTTGTGGTAGAGACTGGTTTTGTTCAGCCAATGCTTGAGCGAGTAATAACACAGTCTGGCTTAATGCAAACAACACTGAACGTCCCAGCGTTTGTCAACGATTTGCCGTTAAGTGATGCAAACCCGCTGAACCACGTTCACGAGGAGCCGGTACAGGGGGCCATGAATCAGTATGGACCTGGCAGCAGCGTGAGCAGACGACAGAGGCACATGGCGCAGGGTGGCGGTGGAGGCAGCAGCAATGGAAGGCCATACAGCACCCTATCACAAAATGGAAACCCACCAACAGTGTGAGGAGACCTGAAAGTGGCACATGGCAGCGTCTGGCGATGAAGTCAACAGTCAGCGCAATGGGAGGCCGTACAGGGACCCCATGACAGACTCTGGACCTGGCAGCAGCAAGAGGAGGCGGTACAGGGGCCCATGGCAGATTACGGGCCTGGCAGCAGCATGAGGAGGCGGTACAGGGGCCCATGGCAGAGTGGCGAAGCGTAAGCAGCTTCAATTGAAGGCCATACACGGGCCTATGTTAAAAAGTCCCCCAGCAGCAGTGTGGGGAGACGACTATCAAGAGTCCAATGGCTGAGTGGCGATCCGGGGAAGTCAGCGTTGTGATTGCAGATGCAATGCAGAGATTCTATGAGGTGATGCCGTGTGGGTGCGAAGAAGATCATATACCGTCGTACTTCCATCCATAAGACGGAACAACCTGCGAACCGGGAGCTTTATTGCCCTGACCCGCTGAGCAGCTTCTGGGATACCCAAGAGTTTGGCTTCTGTGGGGAATATGGTTGAAAACTGAAACTTAAAGGCATGTTGACGGAAGGGCACCAGTGTCAGTGCTCGGAGGGAATATAGCTTCAAAGCTGACACTTAAAGGTATATCGACGGTCAGAGACCACAGGAAGTGGAGCTTGCGTCTTAAATCGACTGAATGTGGCAGACGTGAAACGTCTACGGGCCGTATATGAAACGGGTTTGTTTCCTCTTTCTGGAATAAGTGTTGGAAATGGCCACTCTTTTTGGTGTGGCGTTTTGTCTATTTAATTCCGATAACGGACTCTACTCCTCCGTGCAATCTAGTTACGAGACCCTGGGCAGGTCTGGGTCCAATTTGTGGTAGAGACTGGTTTTGTTCAGCCATGCTTGAGCGAGTAATAACAGGTCTGTGCTGCCCTTTTGGTGTCTGGCTTAATGCGCACAACACTGAACGTCCAGCGATTGTCAACGATTTGCCGTTAAGTGATGCAAACCCGCTGAACCACGTTCATGAGGAGCCGGTACAGGGGGCCATGAATCAGCAGTGTGAGGAGACCCGAAAGTGGCACATGGCGCAGGGTGGCGGTGGAGGCAGCAGTATTCGGAAGCCATACACAGGACTAGGTTAAAAAGCGGAAGCCTTCAGCAGCGTGAGCAGACGACAGAGGCACATGGCGCAGGGTGGCGGTCAATTCATCAGCTGTCCATACATAGGTGGTTTTTATATACTTTTTTTTTGGCCTCCCTTCGCAGGTTTTGAAAAAGGGCCAAACCCCTTTTTGAAAGGTAGCGAGGGTTCCAAAAAAGTTGGGGAAACCCAAAAAATCATCCCTTCTGTCGTTTGGTTTTTTAAATTTGGGTGTCGCTCCCCAAGCCCCCGGAGATGCTATGGGCCTTTGTGCCAAAAGGGGAAAGCGGGGACTCCCCGCCCCCCTCTCCCCCAGGGGGGGTTTTCTGCCCGGGGGCGTCTGGGTCCC